TAATTACCGTATAATCCTTCAGTATCATGCTATAGATAATTTACTTTTTTTCCTCGATATGACAAGATAGGTTTGCCTATCGTCCGGTTACACTCGTCTTCAGTCTTTTGAACAAGAGTAGAGTGCTATCCATTGTTTCATGTTTATGGTTGGGTTCCCGGTTCCCCCTGAAATCTTTTTCATTCTCTTTCACTCCCAGTAGCCCCTTGCATCTTAGTGATATTATGTGGGGTGAATTGATAAAAAAAACTTTTTTCCCTGTGTAACTCGATCAATGTGTGACCTTGCCTTATCATGTAAGTGCAACACGCCTTTAGTATTAACCAATGATATGCGCATTTTCGGCAGATTTTGGGGCAGTGCTCCCATTTGACAACAATACGTACCTACAATAACTTTGGAGGGAGAATTAGCACTTCATGATATGCGATGATGCCCTAAAAAAAGATAATTCAGAATAACGTTTTCCCGGGTGTAGTCCTGGTTTGAAGATGGATTGTCGCTTCCTTTGGATGCAATTATAGAGAACCTACGTTTAATCACCGTCGATGATTATAACCAGCAAATGTCATTAATCTTTCCTTCTCTGAGGAGGAACTCTGTTAAGTTGAGAAGCCGTTAGATGATGAAGGACCCATTGACCAAGAAATCATGAAGGTGTTTTATGATATAAGTGATAATTGTATTGAACCCCTTTGTTAATTCTGATGACGTTTGTATTAGAGTATTCATCGCCTACAGTGTGCAGAAGCTCATTAACAGAATTGGTCACCAGATCGAGAGAAATCTACAAGAGAAAGCATTCCAAATGAAAACTAGCAAAATCATCGTTGAGTTGACATGTCCAGATACTTAAAACTTCATGTCTAGAGATTTCATGAGTATTTCTTGTCGGTTTCATTTACGAAGATTTTTTTTTAATTTCATGCAACATACAGTGTCTGATATGGGTCTGATCAAAGGATAGTTTAAAAGAATAAAATCTATACCAAATTTTCGCTTTCTGATATGAAGTAAAACACATAGAAAGAAAATACATTATAAAAAAAATAAAGATGGCTTGGAAAATGTTATACTCACAGGATATACTGAAGGCAAAAAGGAATAGTCAAAAGCAACGGTCCATCTAGCTGACAAATAGATAGCTGAACAGAAGGTGGGTTTCTTAACAAAGGGACAAGCGTTGCAAAGAGCTGCAATGGATAGGAGGTTGTGGAGAGCCATAATCGCCACGTCCTGAAGAGATACAGCAGCGAGAAGAAAATCTGGTTATAGTAAAGCCATTTGCACAATTGATGGTTTAACCGCCCCTATTTTATCATGCTTCTTCTTTTTCTTCTCTTCCTCCCCCTTCTTCTTCTTCTCTTCCTCCCCCTTCTTCTTCTTCTTCTTCTCTTCCTCCCCTTCTTCTTCTTCTCTTCCTCCCCCTTCTTCTTCTTCTTCCTCCCCCCTTCTTCTTCTATTTCTTCTTCCTCCCCTTCTTCTTCTTCCTCTTCCTCCTTCTTCTTCTTCTTCCTCCCCCTTCTTCTTCTTCTTCTTCTTCTTCTTCTTCTTCTTCTTCTTTCTTCTTCCTCCCTTCTTCTTCTTCTTCTTTCTTCCCCCCTTCATTTTTATGAATGGTTATTTTACAGTAATTAATGTTATTTTATGTTATGAATGGTTATTTTACAGTAATGAAAAGTACCCTAAATCGGGCATTTATATAAAATTCTGTGACTTTCGTTAGTCCGTCCATCACCTCCTCTAAAATAGCTATACATTAAACAATCGAAACCAATTCTTGTGAAAAAGTGCAAACAAGTAAGTTGGGGTATAAAGTAGAGTTACTTTTAGTTTGGGTGCAATATATATATATATATATATATATATATATATATATATATATATATATATATATATATATATATATATATCATTTATATCATAAAACATCATCATGAATTATTGGTCAGTGGGCCTTTCATTATCTAGCAGCCTCTCAACTTATCAGAGTTCCTCCTCAAAATACTCCCAGTATTTTAAAAACAATTTAATGATTAAAATAACAAATACTTATTTAATAAAAATGTAATGTGTTTTTTTTTGTTTTTTTTTTGCATACTTTTCTTTAAGTTTTTTATATACAAGAATCCAGTTTCCAGTCAACCCTGCGTTTGCGAGAGCTATAAACAAATCACATGGTCCAACGTTTCAAAAAGTTAGAATTTGTCTCCAGAAAGAATTATTTACGCATACCCAGTTGTATACTGCATGCTCAAGAGTAAGAAATCCTATGAATTTATTCTTTACTGTTATAAAGAAAAAAGGAAAAAAAAATAGAAATTTTCTTAAAAATATTGTTTACCATGAAGTCCCATATAATTAAATTAAAGAAATTATTAAACTGTGAAGTCAGGTTTTTCTCAAAGTATTTTTACAAACAAATCAGCTTTATTCAAATTGTATCGATTGGTATGCGAAATTGAACGAAACGTAAAGTTTGTAAATTACGACAAAAATGTTAGCGATAACTTCAACAATACTAAATACTGTGAGAATTTTCAACAGGCGTCAGATGTTGCAAAAAATTCTAGTGTTAAAAATGCAACAGCAATTTCTTTCCAATCTAATACAATCAGCGCATATGCAAAGGCCACACAAATTTCCTCAACCGGACAATCATAGAAACGAATACAATATACGGTTCAGTATTACGGAGTGCTAAAGAAAAACAATAATAATAACAACAAAATAATGGTCCTGGTAAAAAAAAAATGTTACAAAATTGCCCAAAAATATGAGCCCTGGTAAAGGTGGTTGAATTCAGTGAATTCAATCAAAGAGTTGTCAGTTCGATCCCTGGCTATTGCAGTGGTGAACAAAAACTTGAAGAGATGCTTTTTTTAAGCGTTTCACCACAATTTGAGTTAAAGAGAGGTAATTGAGACATTCGGAAGAGGCGTAGCACGTGGAACTAGAACAATTGGATGAAATAAAGGTTTCAGTTCAAAATTCCAATCACCAGAAGAAGGCCGGAACGTACAACGGCCGAAACGTCGTGAATATTTCAATAAAGATGAGGACAATGGTCCGAACGATATAAATAATTACAATACCTTATCTCAGAAATATAGACATATCCAGAAAATGTTTTAACAGCGGATGGAACATGCAACACTGAAATCCAGAAGCACATTGTAATAGCAAAATGTGTATCCCAAAAGCTAAGTAAAGTATTAAGAAACAGGAAATTTATTTAGAAATAAAGTAAAGGTTAATGAATTGTTATATGAATTGTTATATGTTATCATTCCTCTTATATGGCAATGAATATTGGACAATCCACTCTCAGATAAAGGGAAGATTTGAGGCAACATAAATATGGTTCTACAGAAAGATACTGTGGATGCCATGTACGGAGTGCGTAAGCAACGAAGAAGTCTTATGGAAACAAAAAAGGCACATAGCTAGAATCAGAAAGAGACATGAAATTTCCCGGACATCTCACGAGGAAAGATGGCTTGGAAAATTTTATACTCACAGGATACACTGAAGGCAAAAAGGAATAGTCAAAAGCAACGGTCCATCTAGCTGACAAATAGATGACTGAACAGAAGGTGGGTTTCTTAACAAAGGGACAAGCGTTGCAAAGAGCTGCAATGGATAGGAGGTTGTGGAGAGCCATAATCGCCACAGCCTGAAGAGATAGAGCAGAGAGAATAAAATCTGGTTATAGTAAAGCCATTTGCACAATTGATGGTTTAACCGCCCCTATTTTATCATGCTTCTTCTTCTTCTTCTTCTTCTTCTTCTTCTTCTTCTTCTTCTTCTTCTTCTTCTTCTCTTCCTCCCCTTCTTCTTCTTCTTCTTCTTCTTCTTCTTCTTCCTCCCCCTTCTTCTTCTTCTTCTTCTTCTCTTCCGCCCCTTCTTCTCTTCCGCCCCCCTTCTTCTTCTTCTTCTTCTTCTTCCTCCCCCTTCTTCTTCCTCCCCCCCTTCTTCTTCTTCTTCTTCTCTTCCTCTTCCTCCTACTTCTTCTTCTTCTTCTTCTTCTTCTTCTTCTTTTCTTTTCTTCTTCTTCTTCTTCTCCCTACTTCTTCTTCTTCTTCTTAATACTGACTTTTTTCTTCTGCCTGACAAACTACTTTCATCTACTTTAAAATTCACACACACACACACACACACACACACACACACACACACACAATTAAAGAAAATAAAAGAAACAAATAACTTATTCCCAGCAAAGAGCAATTGCTGCATTTGTCGAATCCTGTTAGAAAATGTCCTTCAAAACCGGAACGGCACCGTGTGACAATGGCAGAGACACGCGACCGAAATTTCGCGTAGTATGGATAAGGACACGCTGGATTCCAAGAAACAATAGAAGAAGCTGTTTTGAACAATGGTCATTACAGTGCCACAACAACTATACAAGCAGAGACACAAAACAAGTGTAAACAACAGCTGACTGGAGGCCAAGAAAAGATACAATCAGAATAAAGTAACACTTGAATAATCTTTCATAATTCTTCAATTCCTTAAAGAATATGGTCTCATTCATTCCTCACATCGATTTCTTTTTATTTTCACTTTTTCTTTTATCTTCTCTTTCTCTCTTTCTCTTTTTTATTCTTTCTTTTTATTACATTTACTATTTTTATTACATTTCTCTTCAAGAGCTTTGACCTTCCTTTTTTTCTTCTTTCTTCCTAACCGCTTTTTTCTTTCTTTTTTAAATTTTTATTCTTCTTTTCTATTCCTTTTTTTCATTTTTTCTTTTCTTTGTTTTTTTATATCTTGTTCTCTTTTTATTATCTTCTTTGTCTTCTTTCAATTTTCTTCTTTCTTTTTTTCTTCTTTGCTTTTTATTTTTTATTTCTTTTCTGTTTCTTTTTTAAAATTTTCCTTCGTTTTTCGCCGTCTTCTTTTTCATTCTACTTTCCTTTTCTTTAGTTTTCTTTTCATTTATTTATTCCTATCATCTTCTTTTATCTATTTCTTTCTTTTTCTTTTGTCATTCT